AATGTGTCTTTAATTTGCTGTGATTTTAGCGCTGAGACTTGAATTTGCTGTAAGCATTAAACAGGTTTTTTTTTCTTTTGTCGTGTCTCCTCAGGCTTCTGGAAGGCCACCTGTCCTCCGTCATGTGCCAGCCCCCTTCTGGTCTTCGTCAACTCCAAAAGTGGCGACAACCAGGGAGTGAAGTTCCTGCGACGCTTCAAGCAGCTCCTCAACCCGGCGCAAGTCTTCGACCTGGTCAACGGCGGGCCGCACCTCGGGTGAGCAAACCAAACATCCCTGCAGATCCTCTAAATGGACGGTTTGAAACATCAGCTGCAGAATAAGTGAAAAAGTGTGTCTCTGTCAGTCTGCGTCTGTTTCAGAAGTTTGACAACTTCCGGATCCTGGTGTGTGGCGGCGACGGCAGCGTGGGATGGGTCCTCTCAGAGATCGATAAACTCAATCTACACAAACAGGTAACACAAACGACACTGTTAGGATGCTCATTGGTTTCCACATGGAAGATAGACAGTCCTGTGCATGAACCCTCTGAACCTGAAAGCAGCTTATGGATGTTTTTTTTGCTCACATTTGCCACATTTTTCTGCACTGTGGGTTCATTTTTCACTGCAACATGAAGTCCTCCATGGAAACAACACAACCATGACGAGAGGAGAGAGAAATATATGTTTGTGCTGAATGGCACAGTTTGAATCAATAAATCACCAAACAGACAAAAATTGGATTTCTTTGGATATTTATTTTAGAAAAATGTAAAAAAAAAAAATCGAAGTGTCCAAGGGAATGGTAATGGTCTGAATGTATATCGCGCCTTTCTGCCTTAGTGGCGGTCAAAGCGCTTTACAATGTGTTTCTCATTCACCCATTCACACACACATTCACACACCAATGACAACAGACCTGTCATGCGAGGTGCTTGCCTTTCATTGGGAGCACCTCCGGGTTCAGTGTCTTGTCTCTTCGACATGTTTTACCAACACTGGAGAAAAAAAAGATATTTAGCTATTTACATGTTTACAGCCTCAGCAAACTCACTATTCTCTTCAGCTCCAGAAAGCTATTTCATGCTGAATGTATCTACCAACAACTTTCAAGCCCATTTCTGAGCCATGCTGCATTTATTTCATCGATCCAGTGTGTTTTATTTTCCTCTCTTTTGTCGTGTCCTCTCCGCTCACGGCTGAGTCAGACGTGTCTTTCTGATTGTGATGAGAAGCACAACATTTTTTTGTTTGGTACAGAATGTAGTTTGTGCAAACATGTGATTTTATGTAAATTTTGAAAAATGACATTTTTTAAAAAAGTGATTTTGATGTAATATCTCAGTTTAAAGCATAGATTTGGTTATTTTTTCTGACACATCAAATCTGATTAGTTCGAGGACTGTCGGAAAGTTAAACATCCAATAATTATCTCTGTTTTTACAGTCAAGCCGCTTAAAGCTTTTACAGCCTGTTTTTGTCATGTGACTGTTGATGGGAGCTGAGCAACACATGGCTTCTCAGTAGTGTTCACAGGTGTAGAGTTTTTAGGATTTTACAGAGTCTAGTTCGTTTATTGTTCAGAAATGTTAAATGAAACACGTAGAATTTGGTCATTCATCAGTGATTTTAAGTGTAAATTTTGGTTCATTTTTCCAACTGAACTTCACATCTCACGTGGTTAGTTCAAAGACTGTCAGAAAGGTGAAAATGTGGTGATTTCTTCTGTTTTTAAATTTTGTTGCTCTGATAAATCGTGCCATTTTAGTGTTGTTGTTTCGTTTTTTTTGAAAGATAATTCCCCTTTCATACCTGTCAGTGGGTTTTGTGTGAAAGTGTGTTTTGTTTAATGCAAATTGAGGTCAGAAACTATAAAAGACTGGTGGTCATTTAACTAATCATGGATAAAAATTTACCAAATCTACACTTAAAATCAGCATCAAAATAACTTAATTCTGCATTGTTCATTTAAACATGCAGAGAAATAAACTGTACAAGCCTTGAGGGAACATTATTGATTCAACGCAGAGCTGTACGGATAAAACTGACTTGAGTTGAGAAGGAGGTGGTTTTGATGAGGACTTTAAGCACGTGGTTAGTTCAAAGACTGTCAGAAAGGTGAAAGTGTGGTGATTTTTGATATCATTTTGGTCATTTTTAAATCTATAGTTTGCTTTTCAAATCTGATGGCAGGTTTTGGGGTTCAGAGGGTTGAGTCACTGCCTTGAGCCTAATAAACCGTGTGCTTGCGTCGCAGTGCCAGCTCGGCGTGTTGCCGCTGGGCACGGGGAACGATCTGGCCCGGGTTCTGGGCTGGGGTCCGTCCTGCGATGACGACACCCAGCTGCCGCAGATCCTGGAGAAGCTGGAGCGAGCCAGCACCAAGATGCTGGACCGCTGGAGCATCATGACTTACGAGATCAAGATCCCACCCAAACACAGCTGCCCGACAACGCCCGAAGGAGCCGACGACTGCCAGGTATCACAGGAGCTGACGGAAAGTCACTCGCATCAGCAGACAGCAGCAGAACCAGCAGGGCCTGATGTTTTCCTGTCACTCCGGTTCAAAACTGCTCAGAAACCCACAGATTTCTTTCTCTTACACGTGTTAAAAACATGCTATTTAAATTTCAGTTTCTTTGTCTTTGTTTTTTCTCTGCAGTTTCACATTTCAGCCTATGAAGACTCAGTAGCTGCTCACCTCACAAAGATCCTCAACTCGGAGCAGCACTCTGTGGTCATCTCGTCCGCCAAGTGAGTCACAATCTGACCTTTAAAAAAACAAAAAAACAGGGTTCATTCAGGACAGATTTGTACCAAAAGTGTAATTTTTTGTGTTGATTATAGTCCCTGTGACAGAGAAACAACATACCGCTGCATGTAAAACATATAGTGTGTGTTGTTTCAGGATGTATTGGACCAAGAAAGATTTTAAAAAAAAAAGAATAGATTGTTATCTCAGAAGGCAACCATGAGACAGCCGGGTTTTCTTCCTGTTTTTTAGGATCCTGTGTGAAACAGTGAAGGATTTCGTTGCCAAAGTGGGGAAAGCGTATGAGAAAAGCACCGAGAACGCCGAAGAGTGCGACAACATGTCTCTCAAAGTAAGAATGTGCATAAAACATAGTACTAATACATTTAGATGATCTGTTTTTGTAGCGTTTCCACCTCTGTATATTTATATATTAGCGCTCTATTCATTGTGTTTACACTGTACTGCTGTTTGTAACATACTATTCAATATTTAGTGCGCAATATTTCTGTTTCTTTGCAACTTTTACATGACATGTGCAATATTTCACTTTGATGTAAAACATTGTCATTATGTGCAACATTTATTTATTTTTTTTCATTATCAGGTGCAATATAATAATTTATTTTTTGTCATTATCATGTGTGATCATCTTTATTAGCCCCGTGTAACTGCCTGCATTACTTTATACTGTTCTATGTAGCTTCGAGCTTTATTTTAGCTCACTTATTTCAGTAATTTCAGAAATGTATTATATCTCATTGCTTTTTCTCTTTAGACACTGCATTTGTTATGCTGTGTCATTTGTTTTTGGGTTGTTGTTTGTTTGTTTTTTTAGCAATATCTGGCTCAAGAATTTCCTTTGGGATGAATAAAGTTTCACCTTAATAATGCACTTAACTGCTGCTTTTCCACTTCTGGTTAGATGTTAAACTGTATTTCGTTGTCTTCGTACTCTTTGCAATGACAATTTAGTTGAATCTAATCAAATCTAAAAACGCCGCAGCAGACGTTCATTATCATCATTTCCGAGCAGAAAGGCAACTCCCTAAACATGACATTTCTGCTCATTTCTCCACCTCTGTGTGGCCGGCAGTGTGCCATCCTGAACGAGAAGCTGGACTCCCTCCTGCAGACCCTGAACAGCGAGTGCCAGGCCCTGCCGCCGCTGCCTCACCCGACCCCTCCCATCGTGGAGGAGGAGCAGGAGGAGGAGGAAGAGGAGGAGGAGGAGGCCAGCGAGGAGAGTCTGACGGAGGTGAAGGAGAAGCTGGAGGAGGAGGAGACGGAGAAACGAGGAGGAGGAGGAAGAGGCTCCCCGCACCAGCTGTTCAAGAGCCGCGAGCAGCTGATGCTGAGGGCCAACAGTCTGAAGAAGGCTGTTCGACAGATCATAGAGCAGGCAGTGAGAGGTACGCAGTGTTTTTAATCACTGGTTTGGTGGAATACTTTGTGAAATATTGTCTTGAAGTTGCAGGTTTTAGTGAAGGCAGAAATCAATGCTTTTGTTCATGCAGAAGATAATCAACCTTTCAATTATCAACATCGCCATATTTTCAGATTTTATAAAAGGTACATCTACCGTGTCCTCATGTTTACGTGTTGTCAACTTTTCCTGTGGTGCTTGGGTCTAGTGGTGGATGAGCAGAACGCCCACACTGATGACACTGAGCTTCCATCGCCGCTGGAGTTCAGGAAGGACAGCGAGGAGGAGAACCGAGACAGCGAGAAGGACGAGGACACCAAGGAGCTGGAGGCAGTTTCCTGTAAGTGTTTCAGCCACGAATCTGTTTCTGTTCCACATCTGGGTCCTGAGGCGAGCTGGTTAACATTTAATAGAAGATAATTCAATTCTTTATGGTCAAAAAGCTCATTTCAGACTTCCACATCGTCGTTCTTCCAGGACAAATGACTGGCTATAATTCCAGTTTCAGGTGTCACAGTTGGTTTGTTAGCACCAAAAACTTTAAAACCTTTCAGATTCTCCACAATACTAAACACAACAACACAAGCAAGTTTCCAGTTTCAGTTTTCATATCGACAGTTTAGTTCTGACTGTTCGTAATTCTAGTTGACGATATCTTTAATTCCCCTTTATTCAACATAGCTACCTTTTCCTTTTTCGATTCTGAAATTAAGAATGATGTTGTAGATGTCTTAAAACTGGAGTTTTGACTTGTCAGAATGTAGATTTTTACATTGCAGATATCTGTAGTTGCGTACAGCAAATGGGAGGCGACTTACTTTTCAAACAGACTGTGACATTTTAACTATAACTGCTGACGATAAGCTGTTTCGCTGAGTTTACAGAGTTGGTTTGTTTCCCCCAAATTTAACCTAAAACTTTGTGGATACTCCACAACACTAAATACAAAAGCCACATTAAGCTGAATATCTCATCAAGACAAGCAATAACATCACCAAACAGGTTTGAAAATCCCGGACGAGCCCCCAATTGTCACAAAACGGCAAGTGGGGAGTCAACGCAAGAGATTTACTTAAATCAAACACAATTTATTGGATTATAAGGAGTGTGGAAGTAAGCAATATCAGCAAACTAAGGCTAAACTTTTACTAAATTTCCACCACAAGTCTGTGATCAACAAAACTCTGATTCTCCACAAACTCCACACTGATGAACTCTTTCTATTTCACATCATTTTCTAACAATCTGATCCACTCACAGTAGCCGACACTACTTCTGCTAACACTGTTCAAGTGCTCTGCTGGAATTCTGACTGGTCATAATGAAGTCTGAAATATCTGCAGCCTGAGCTGAATTACAAAGATCTCTAACTGTGGTTCTGACTGGTCACAATGACGTTATAGATATCAGGGATTTGAATCCTGCAGAGCCAAAGTCTGCTATTAAATGCTAAAACACCATTAAGCTCTTTGTGCAAACCTTTTACCTGCTTGGCCCTGATGCATTTTCATTCTGGACTGTTTCCAAAACACTTAACCTGCCTGTCCTGTTTAGCGTCCAAGTCTTTCTACTTTGGCAGCTGGCCTTCATCTCAAGACATTTTATTTAATTAGTGGTTGAGGCCTGATTCGAGAGAACACTTTTTTAAAATCATATTGCTTCTGTCTTTTCCCTGCTGAGACAGGAAACAGGCGTCCTCTTATATGTAAAAGTGGACAAATATCACAGTAACAGCCAGATTTTCTCCGACAGGATTTAACTGTTGCCACCTTGTGGGCGTTGAACTCCCTGCAGCACAGAGAACCAGACTCAGCTAATGGAAAAAAAAAGTCCTGCTGACGCAAATCATGTTTCCTGTCATAAATAAACTCAGGGATTAGTGCTAAAAGTGCACAGAGAAACTCTCCTGCAGCAGAATGGGCCGTTGATCTGCCCCTTAGCCTTCAGCCTCCACAGCGCAGAGCTGCTCTAATGATACCTGTGGAGGCTGCTGTGTTTGTGGATGCAGGTTGCTGTGGATCGGCTGCAGGATGTGTTATTGTCTTTGCGGCAGAAATTCTTCCTGTTTATCGTGCGGCTGCTTCCTTCCTTCCACACATTTTTCCAGTCGAACCCTCTGCTTCATCTCCTCCTTTCTAACCTGAAAAAATCTGAAGCTGCAGCCATTAATCAGATAGTTGTCAACTATTAAGTGAATCTTCAGCTATTTTGATGATTGATTAGTAGGTTAGAGCAATTTTTTAAAAGAGAAAAAGTCTAAATTCGCTGACTGCAGCTTCTCAAATCTAAATATTTTCAGGTTTCGGTCTTTAAAAAAGAGAAAAGAATCAACAGATTAATCAACAATAAAAAAATGATCATGAGTTGCAGCCCTGCTGATTTTAAAGGTATTCATATTTTTTAACAAAAAACATGACTTTTATGTTGTGTTATAACTTTGTAAATATTTTAAAAAATTGTATTCTTATATGAAATTAAAATTTTATTTTATTTTGTCTAATTTTAATAATTGTTATATCATGTTTATTATCATGGTGAATTAAAAATTTTGCATTTTTTGTAATATTTCAGTACAATGAATTTGGTTTGTGTAATATTTCTAATATTGTAATTTCTCTGCAAAAGTGATGTTGTTTTGTAGTTTCTGCTGTCTAATACCTCAGGAATCACTCAATGAGCAGAGAAAACACCTCAAAGTGATATTTTCTGTTGTTCTTTCTGTGTGTAGCTGCTAAGAGTCCGTGTTCTCCGACCGAGAGGAGGGTGAGTCGCAGCACTCAGTCCTACGGATCCTTCACCATCACTCCCTTCACCACCAGCAAGGAGAACCTGCCGGTGCTCAACACTCGCATCATCTGCCCTGGTAAAACACACAAACACCAAACTCTGCATCCACGACCCTTCCCACGCTGCAGCTGATTGTGTTACAGTTGCGTTATGTGTTTCTGCGCAGGTTTGCGAGCAGGTTTGGCTGCTTCCATCGCCGGCAGCTCCATCATTAGCAAGATGCTACTGGCCAACATCGACCCGTTCGGCGCCACTCCCTTCATCGACCCCGACCTCGACTCGCTGTAAGAAGCGCTTCTTTTCCACATCTGCCACCTTCATCTGCTTCTCCTCCATGCATCAGACTTGTTTGCTGACTGTTGGTTTTTATGTGGTTGTTGGTCCATCCAGAGAGGGCTACATGGAGAAGTGCGTCATGAACAACTACTTTGGCATCGGCTTGGACGCAAAGATCTCGCTGGAGTTCAACAACAAGCGAGAAGAGCATCCAGAGAAATGCAGGTGAGACATGTTTCCTCTCATCATAGCCACAATGGCTGGAGATATGTTTAGAAGAGAGAAGGTGAGGACTTTAACCTCAAGAACACCAAACCTACAGTCAAGCATGGTGGTGGCAGTATTATGCAGTAGCAGAACCGGTGCTTTACACATAGTATATGGAATAATGAAGAACGGGTTACCTCCACATTCTGGAGGCAATAATGTTGAGTGTTTTCCAATGAGACATCCATCCATCCATTATCTATACACCGCTTAATCCTCACTAGGGTCGCGGGGGGGCTGGAGCCTATCCCAGCCTACTTAGGGCGAAGGCAGAGGACACCCTGGACAGGTCGCCAGTCTACTGCAGGGCCACCCAATGAGACAATGACACCAAACAAACATTATAAATGGTGAAGAATTGGTTAAATCAGGCCAGAAATAAAAAAGAAACAAGTCTGTGTCAGAAAACCAACACATTTAGTTCAACTGTACCAAGGCTGTGAAGAGGAGAGTCAAAGATACAACCAGAAACCTGTAGATGGCTACCAAAGGACCTAGTTGAAGTGAAAATGGCCAAAGGACATTTAACCAAATATTGGCATTTCTGTACATGTATGTTGGACCCAGCAGATTTTGTCATATTTCCAGAAGACCTTTAATAAATATATGAAATAACTAAATGCATGATTGTTTTTTGTTATAGTCATAGGAGTCTATGATACATATGGTCATTACAAGTGTATGGAAACTTTTGTTTCATGACTGTATATATTAAATAATCAAAATATATTTCTAGTTTTCTAAGTCAGACAGTTTCCCACCATCATGGTTCAAATATTTCCAGTTTCCAGTCAGTCTCCACTGCACAGTTATAAAAAGACATCCTGCAGCAATTTATGGTGTGATACATGGAAAAACATAAGTATGTCATCACACAAAATGTTTTTCTTCTCTAGATATAAAGGCTAATATTTAAAATTTGGAAGTGTTATCGTATCAAATGATGGAAGATCTTGATTGCAGAGACTGTTCTTTATTCTAATAATGACCAAGATAAGAGCTTAGAAGTAAAGTCAGTGCTAATGTATTCTCTGTACCTTCTTTCTGCAGGAGTCGCACCAAGAACATGATGTGGTACGGTGTTCTGGGCACCAAGGAGCTTCTGCAGCGGACCTACAAGAACCTGGAGCAGAAAGTCCAGCTGGAGGTGAGACGGTGGAAAAAACAATGGGGTGGATATGGTTTTAAAATAAAAAAAATAAAATAAAACCTTCAAATCAGACTGCGTTTCACATCGTCACATTTTGGCCTGGAGCTCAGGACTCTCGGCTAACAGCAGGGAGTAATATATATAAGGATGTGAGTCACCTGATTTTGACACCGCTGATCCCCTTGAAACTCTATTTAAGCTGGAGTGCTGTAGATGTAAAGTGAAGCGTGATTCTGCAACTGCCCGGCCTGTTTCTGCCCTCAGATTCAGCTGCCACCAATCAGGAAGGAAAGCTTCTCACAGCTCACACTAGGGGGTGAAATGATATTTAGGTCCTAAAAAAGCACATTGTGAAAAGTAAAAAAAATAGTCTTCTGGGTTTGTGAGGTTATTTAAGTTTAAAAACTGCAGTAAAAAAAAGTAAGTAAGTACATTTTTGAGGTGCTTTTACTTCACTCAAGTATTTCCATATTATGTGATGTTCTCCTTCTTCTTCACTTCATTTATCTGACACCTTTATTAGGTTGCAGATTTGATCCAATGGATGAATAAACACGCTTTTAAAATACAACACCTGGTTGAAATCAACAAAAAGCACATATTCCTCTATTTGCTGCATGAAAAAGACTTTGACTCCCCTATGTTTGTCTGACAGCTTCAATAAGATGCAGATTTGCTGTAATGAATAATAATAATAATAAAAATCAATTACATAGTTACACATTAAAACTTCCAACCTTTATGACAAAAACAGCTCCACCAAATAGAGATTTTCCCTTAAACTTCTCACATTTCACTAAATGCTCCAATGATTCAACAACTTACTGCAAAGATTAGAGAGAAACCGATTTTTCATGCAGGACTTTTTCTTTTACCATAGTACCTCCATCACTGCAAATGATTTATGCTGCATCTGCAAGAGAACAGGGACAGCATCCGAGTGTTGTAGGTTTTTGACCTAACAGGAGCTACAGCTTAGTTTGTGGCTCCCAGGGGTTTAGGAGTCTTTCCTCTGAGTTTATTAAATACCTGCAGCAGCAGAACCAATATGAGAGTCTTCAAAAAGAGAGAGAGAGAGCTGCTGCCATTTACATACTACAGCAGAGTCTTCAATAAATACCTAATTACAATAAAATAGCCCCAACATGGAGACAGGATCAACATTCAAGTGACTGACTGAATGAAAGAATGCCGTCACTTCAACAGACTGATAAAGTAGCAGAAAAGGACTTTACATGCATGTACCTTCTTCTTTCTCTCTCTCTAAATGCCTGCAGCAGTAGACAGCAGCAGGATCCATAAAGAGTCTTTAAAGAGAGAAAGAGCTGCTGCACATTTACATACAACAGCAGTTACTTCAATCAACACTTTAAATGAAATACATGTACCTTCCTTTCTGTCTTGTCTTACTGGTCCAGCTGAGCTTTGCTTATGTATCTTTACCAGTGTGACGGTCAGTACATCCCGCTGCCCAGCCTTCAGGGCATCGCCGTGTTAAACATTCCCAGCTACGCAGGAGGAACCAACTTCTGGGGCGGCACCAAGGAGGATGATGTGAGTACATGTACAGTGGATGTTCTGTCTGTTCTCAGCATCTAACTCAGACCATCTTTACAGAGTAGAAGAAGCGTTTTTACTCTGCAAGATAGAATCTGGCCATCCTGGATTGATGTAACCCTGATGACCTGGAGATGGAGGTGGGGGAGGAGGGGGGAGACGGCTACATAGATATTCATGCTTGTTTGTTTAAGACTCAGAGCAGAAGGGCTGCAGAGGGATCGGAGTGTCAGTTTGCAGTCGCCCCTTAGCGAGCCCCTGCAGAGGTTACCCTTGGACACACGCTTGCATTTAGTTTGTGCATTCGGTGTTATGTAACTGTTGTACTTAAGCTTCAGGAAGCAGAGCTTCAGGGAGAGGGCGTTTAGATAAACTTAGTCACCATGCAGGCACATGTATAGCAGAGAATTCCACCACAGTGTAAATGAACAACATAAAAAGAAATGTGCAAACAGAAAATATAACTGTCAAGAAGAAATAATTGTAAGTGCAAGTGTATGTATAAAAACAGAGGGATGGCTTGTTCTGTTAAAGAGAGCTTTTGTTTTATTAGGAAGTATAAAAACAGGAGTGTCACTGATGTTGCACTTCTGGATGTTGCACATTGCTGAACATATACAAAAAGCATGGCTTACAAAAGAACACAACATTACATACAAAGTGTCTGTAAACAAATGGAAATGTGTAGTTTCAGTAACTAAACACAAGGTGCAAGCACACGCCTGCACTGACATTTGACATGTTACTTGAAATGTGTTGTTAAAATTCACGACTGAACCCAAAACCTGAAGTTGAAATCCCACATTAGCATCTTTCCATATGCAGGACTTCTTTCTAAATGTGTCCATCTAGTGGCCGCTTCCCCACACGACAGCTCAAAGCAGTGACTTATTTGCTGAGTGTCTCTTTGCGCTCGGGCAGATGCTTTCTCCTCACTTGCTTTGACCTTTTCATGCACAGTTTGCTGGCAGAGATCAATATCAGGTGAAGCCTCTTCTGTCAGAAACAGCTCATTTCTCGTTGGAGCTAAACTGAGCTGACATAGCAGAATAATGACAGAGACGTGGCTTCACAAATCCTTACTGTTACAGTCACATTAAAGGATAAGGCACCTAGTATTTTGTATTTATATTTAGGAAAATATCTAAGCTCCATTTTCTGACCAGTTTTAACCTTCTGGACCCCAGAACCCAGAAAGGCATATTATCTTTAAAAATCAGCAAAATTAAAGCATTTATCAGAGCCAGAAAGTGAAAAATAAAAAAAATAATAATCAGAGTTTTATAGTTCTGAAAATGTTAACCATTTTGAAGTCATTAATATACTTTTTTTTCTTTTTAAATAACAGCAAACATGTGGAAAATAATAATGCATTTTGCTAATTTTTTAACAGTAAAAAAAAATCCATTGTTTTAGAAGAAAACATTTGCATTTCTGAAAATGCAGAAACAAACAAAAATGTGATGTTTATTTGTTTTTAAGAACTGACATCTAAATGAATTCTGTATTTCTGTGATTTTAACTAAACATCAGGAAATTGTTCAAAAAATTACCATTAAAATCTGATAACTAAAGTTCATTTGTTTCACTGTGTAATATTCAGGACGTTGCTGAGACTTCGTAAAAATGTATAAAATAACAGATTTTGACCCTCAGACAGGTTTGGGAAGTTGGAAGAGATGGATTGTTGGGTCCTAAAATGTAAAATAACACCAACCTGATCCACTATAGTACGAAATCGATAGATAAAATGTGCACATACATAGCATGAATATTATTTTTATTGTATTGTGCAGATCTTCTGCGCGCCGTCTTTCGATGATAAGATCCTGGAGGTGGTGGCTGTGTTCGGCAGCATGCAGATGGCTGTTTCCAGAGTCATCAAGCTGCAGCATCATCGCATAGCGCAGGTGAGAGGACGCAAAGAAAACAGCATGGAGTGAAAATACATGAGAAAAATGTGTGAATCTAACCTGAACTTCTGCATGGATCAGTGTCGGACGGTGAAGATCACCATCCTGGGAGACGAGGGGGTTCCCATCCAGGTGGACGGGGAAGCCTGGATCCAGCCGCCGGGAGTCATCAAGATCCAGCACAAGAACCGAGCGCAGATGCTCACCAGAGACCGGGTAAGGACATGATCACATTTTTATAGCAATTTCTCCTCATCATCAAGCTCTGCAGAAGCCTAATAATGATCCTGATCATTTGAATCAGGTGTGTTGGAAGAGGGAAACATCTAAAACATGCAGGACTGTGGCCCTCGAGGACCAGGACTGGACACCCCTGATCTATGATTTACCTGAAATGTTTATAGCATAAAATATGGATATTTGTGAAGATATCTGTGAAATTTTGGACTGATATATCAAACACTTTCAGAGATAGCTTCCTTTTCTTTTTCTTTTTTTTGCCCATCAGCTCACATATATGTAGCGCTTTTCATTTTTTGCAATTTGAGGCTGTTTGAACAACGATATCTAAAGAGCTAATAAAAATAAAAGCCTGACATTTTCACTGTTGTTGCTCATCATGTCATTGATTCAGAATATGCAATATCTGACAAATAGATGGAATTATGGGTGATTATGGGTGGGTTAAAGTTCATAGCTGACTAAGCAGGTATGACAAGTTGTAAAGAAAAAACAATATTAAGAAATATCTTTATGAATGTCCATATTTTCTGCCATAAGTGTAGCATATAATATGAATATGTATAAAGATGTTTTCAGGTAAATCAGAGACTGTGGTGCAGAAATTATTGTCAAAAATCTGATCATTTGACATGGAACAAACCCACTGCATATATACATTTATATTTAATATCAAAATATGTTAATAATGTTGTCAGTCATACAGTTTATACACCTTGAACTTTCATAAGTGATTGAGCAGGTATGACAAGTTGTACCACCAACACAAAGAAGTTGCTAGATAGTTTAATCCATGTAGAACCAGTAGTGTTTTGGAGTTCCAAATGCTTCTGCAAATAAAAATACAAAGAGCCATTTCTAAATGTAGACATATATCCATCCATTTTCTATACACCGCTTAATCCTCATTAGGGTCATGGGGGGCTGGAGCCTATCCCAGCTGACTTAGGGCGAAGGCAGGGGACACCCTGGACAGGTCGCTATAACTTTCTGAAATATTGTCGTTAAAACAGCCTCTAATGTGTTGAAAGTGGATTAACGGGCATTTTTTCTTTTTAAATGATCTCATAGTTTTGGAAATATCAAGCAAAAATGTCACAGTTGCCATTTTAAACTTGTACAGCTTATAACTTTGGAAAAAACGGGTGAACACAAGGATACTAATGATTTGAGGTAAAATATCTACTTGTGCGATGTTTCCCTGCAGGCGTTTGAGAACACGCTGAAGTCTTGGGAGGACAAGCTGAAGTACGATAAGCCTCCTCTGCGTCCTCACCTCTACCCTCAGCAGTCTGTGGATCTGGCCACGGAGGAGGAGGCCTCGCTGGTGCAGATGTGTGCCAGAGCTGCCGAGGAGCTCATCACCAGGTAAACGTGCTGCCAATGAAAACATCAGCTCTGGTTTCACGTGTGTTTTATTCAGTCCTAAATCGTGTCCTCTGATTGTGTGATCGCAGGATTTGCGAGGCTGCGAAGACCAACGGGCTTCTGGAGCAGGAGTTAGCTCACGCTGTCAACGCTGCGTCTCACGCCATCAACAAAACGCACCCCAAGTTCCCAGAGGTTAGCTGTTAGCATGAATCACACATAAGACACTCTTGAGAAGCTGCAGTTTTAGGTTGAAGGCCTTTGTGGAAGTTTGTAAAACAGAAAATCCTGACGTGCCACTAGAGGTCAGTACAGCCAAAAATAAACAGGTTCCACAATCTGAAGCCGAGAATCATTGTTCCATCTGCCAATCCTGGAACTGGACCTTTGAATACATGAGTATTAAAAAAAGAAAATCCCTGATTAAACAGAAACAGAAAACTATGACATTAAGTGATCAGAAACAAATCCACTGACAAACTCAAAATGAACATGATAGAATAAAGCAGCTGTGAGATAAGAAGCAAACTGGGATCAGCAGGTGCCAGATTAAGATTAAACCAGCTTCTGGGATTGTTCTATGACTGATGCGTGCACTGTTTGTGTGATATAATGCTAAATACCTGCTGTTTTCCTTCTTCAGAGTCTGACCAGGAACACAGCGATCGAGGTGGCCAGTACCGTCAAGGCTCTGTACAACGAGACCGAGTCTCTGCTGCTGGGCCGAGTCTCTCTGGTGAGTTATTATAACAGATCATTTCAATCATGACTTTCTTTTGTAGCATCATGTGCAATATTTCATACTTTCATTTGTCATGTGTAATATTTGAGTTTGATTTGTGATATTTCACTTTCTTATACAACATTGTCAATGTGTTACTTCATGTTCATCTCATTTTTCAGGCAACATCTTTCCTTGTCATGTGTGGTTATACTTACTCGCCTTATTTTAACTCACTTATTTCCTCTGTGTCATACCTAAATCGTGTTGCTTTTCTATTTTTAGACACTGTATATCTTATGTGATGTTATTTGTTTTGTTTTTTTTTAAGTAATATCTGGCACAAGAATTTCATTCAGGTTTCATATTGTTAGTTTAATCTTATTTTTTATTTCTATAGAATTTATTGTTTCAACTATACTATGAAGTTTAAGGATGATTTTGCTCATCTTTAATGGCATACTTTGGGGTCTTATTTAGTTTTTTCTCCCTGTTTACAGCAACTGGACCCTCCAGAGGAGGAGCAGCTGTCCAGCGCTCTGCAGACTGTTGAGCTGGAACTGGGCAAACTGGGAGAAATCCCCTGGTTGTACCACATACTGCAGCCCAATGACGAGGAGGTAAGAGGCCTCAGCAAGCACATGCATGCACACTGTGTGTAATGTGTCTGTAAAATAGACGACAGCTTAGCTAATCAGCACGTACTCCATGTGCAGTGGTGGGAAAAGTAACTGAAGCCTTTCAAACTATCTGCAGTCACGTGTAAATATGCCTTAAAAGATCTATTTCAACAGACAAATCATCACGTTGTTCTCTTCCATCATTTAGACAGCGACAGCAGGAGGCTAAAAATGGTGGAGTCATGATTAAATCAATGAAACAATGTTGGAGGTGTGGGTTTAATGTTTTAAGAACGTTTTTGAAGATATTTATCATTTCAAGTAACGCTCCTGAAAAATTAAACTCTTTTTGCTACAACATTCAGGAGATGTTTGGAGGATGTTATCAGGGCCACAGATTCTTCTACATGACAGCAAAAGGAGGAACGTTCTCAAACCATCATTAAAAAAATGTTTTCCAGATGTTATCAAGTGATTTTTAGAAAACCTTCCTGTAATGTGACATATTAACAAAGGCAGAACATTTGTCCTACAATGTTCTGAGGGTGTTTTGTGGGACGTTGTTGAGGTAACACATTATTAAAAGTTTTTCTGTAAAACGCTCCCACAATGTTGCATAATAACAAAGGAAGGACGTGAATGTTATCGTACAACTGCTAAACATGAAAACACCAAACGTTATTAAAGTCTTTAGAGAACGTTTTGCCACCTTTGAAGATGAGCATTCTGGGAACTAAACAAAAACATTACGAGAACTTAAAGTCTAGCTGAGTCAGAGCTTCTTGGATTTTTAAAAAAATGTTTAGAGTTGCTAGAAAGGAGACGTCAGAAGACTAATGACCATGAATGGTTGATTTAAATCAAGCTTTAGCAGGTTACAAATTCATTTCAAAGAGCTGAGATATTCATCAGCTAACAGGTAAACAAACTCTATAAAATGAGAACATTTAGTTAATTTAAAAAGCAAATTGTTCACTGGGGCTAGAAAGAAACTCAGAGAAAGAGCTCCAGGCTGAGAGGACTCATCGTGAAAACATGAAGTCCTTGACCGAGCATCCTCCATAAAGCTGCTGGGAAAATGTTGGACTGATGAAACTCCGGTTGTGTGGTTTAGAAATAACTTGCAGCACTACGTAAAAAGGGAGCGTCATGTCAACATTAAAGTATCCTTCATGCAATGTGGCGACAGCAACATAATTTGGGCTGTTTTGCTGCCGCTGGGCCTCGACTGCTTGGCATCACTGTGGAGTGAATGGATTCCTGGTTTATTAAGATACATTCAAAACAAAGTCAGGGAGATGCAGCAGGAAAACACAGCTCATAATGTGCTGTATGTCCAAAAAATTTAAGCAGCTCTGTGAGAAAAAATGTGTGCAGGTCTCATCTGCAGCTGTTTGAGGTAACTGCTGCTGAAGGAGGTGAATTAATCCAAGGGCTCACTTACTTTTTCCACCGTCCTATCAACTTTAATACAAGATAACAATTCTATGTGAGTTAGTAGCTGAAGCACATTGTGTTTGTCTGTCTTAGATACATATCGAATCACATTTTCCAACACAGAAAACTTGCTAAGTTTTGAGAATGTGCTGTCTGTCTTTAGTGTAGCATGACTCCAGGTAACGGGAGAGTTGAGTAGCTAAATGAAAGGCTATAGGTTGACTGTGCTTATGTACCAGGACCACACTCTGGGTTACGGCAAGAGAAACAGTCGCAGCAGCATGTTTCGCATAGTGCCCAAGTTCAAGAAGGAGAAGGCCGCCAAGAAGTCGAGTCCTCAGTCAGGTAGGGATGTGTCCACCTTTCCATCAGTGCTGAGCAGACTGGACAGACTGGTTAACCCTCTGAACCCC